GGGGTCAAGCAGAGAGTTGGATTCGAGAAAGTCTGTCAATCTGGCATAGACAACTCTCTCGATGGTTTTAGAGGCAAATGGCAGTAGCGAAATAGGGCGGTAGTTGGATGGGTAGTTGGGATCAAGGTTGGGCTTTTTCAGAATTGGGGTTACAGTTGCATGTTTGAAGGCAAAGGGAAATGTGCCAGAGGAAAGGGAGAGATTGAAAATGTTAGTGAGAGGAAGAGCAAGAGAGGGAGACAAAGTGCGGATGAGAAGCGAGGGAATAGGATCGAGGGAGCAGGTGGTGGGGCGGGAGGACAGGAGCAGAGCAGAAACCTCTTGTGCTGTAGCAGGCGTAAATGAGCTTAGGATGGCAGGGGGAGTGGGGTTGGGTGATGTATTGATACTGGTTGGAGAAAGATTAGAGATCTCTTTCCTGATTGTAGAGATCTTCTCAGTGAAATGAGATGCAAAGTTTGTGGCGGACAAGGTGTTGGAAGGAGGGGGAGTCACAGGGCGAAGAAGTGCATCAAAAGTGTGAAACAGATGGTTGGGTTGGTGGGACAGTGTGCTTATGAGGGTGTTGAAGTAGCTTACTTTTGCAGAGGAAAGAGCCATGCTGCAGGAGCGTAGCATAAATTTATAGTGGACAAAGTCAGATGCAAAGTGAGACTTTCTCCAGCAGCGTTCAGCAGTTCTGGAACATTTTTGGAGGTAACGGGTCAGCTTGGTGTGCCAGGGTTGTAGTTGGGGGCGCTTGCTGCGTTTAACTGTAGGAGGTGCTATGATGTCAAGTTGAGAGGAGAGAGTGGAGTTGTAGAGTGAGGTTGCAGAGTTAGGGGAGTTGTGATTTGAGATGGGTAAAAGGAGTGTTTGGAGTTTAGAGGAGAAGTGCTGGAGATCGAGGGAGTTGAGGTTTCTGCGAGGTTGGAGAGTGGATGGTTGTGAGATTTTGGGATGGGGTATGCAGATGTTAAATGTTAGCAGAGTACCACTAGAGTGAAAGCACTGCCAGCATTCAAAAGTGACCAAAACATCAGCCAGGAAGCATAGGAACTGAGAGGTGGTCTGTGGTCCTTTATTGGGGGTGTCTTGCTAATTGCCTATAATTTCCACCTGTTTTCTATCCCATTTTCACAACAGCATGTGAAATTGATTGTCACTCAGTGTTGCTTCCTAAGTGGACAGATTGATTTCACAGAAGTGTGATTGACTTGGAGTTACATTGTGTTGTTTAAGTGTTCCCTTTATTTTTTTGAGCAGTGTATAAGCTTAATACATCCAAATCAACTATTATGAGTTGGAATCTAAATAAGGTTACTAAGGATTTATTACAGAAAGAATATACTTTTAAATGGGAAATAAACAGTACTGAATACCTAGGCATAGTCCTTACCTCTCAAGTAAAGAATCTAAGTAAGGCTAACTGGAAGGTATTGTTCAATCAGACATCCAGACTGCTTAATGAGTGGAAATCCTTAGAACTCTCATGGCTGGGGCGAATCAATGTTATAAAATCTTATGTGCTACCAATATGCAATTATCTGTTTGGGGTGATCCCCATATGTCTCTCCAGAACAAATTTGCTTAAAATCCAAAGATTATTCTCAGATTCTATATAGAAGGGGAAAAAATCAAGAATAAAAAGAAAGATATTAGAGAAAATAATAGATAAAGGAGGTTTAGCTATCTCTAACATTAAAACATATCATGATGCTGCTATCCTTAAACATCTATAAGTGGTTCAATACAGAACCCAAAGATGCTTGGTACGATCTTGAAAAATTCATGTTGGGGATCTCTGACCTCTCCCTCTTATTATGGATTGAAAAATTGGGTATTGTTACCATCTTAGATAATACATTTGGAAAGCATTTCTTTACTTTTCAAATCTTAAAATTCTGGGCTAGATTTAAGAAAGAATATAATTTAACATGGGATAATAGTATTAGAGCCAAAAATACTGCAAGTCTTTTGAAATATAATATGGAAGATATTAATTTATCCACATGGAAAAGGAATGGTATAGAAGCAATAACAGATATTCTTGACGGCGCCCATATCAAACCTTTTCAAGAACTAGCTTTAGAATTTCACCTACCTTCAAAAGACGTTTTTTCATACCTTAGAGTTAAAAGCTATTTGAGGAACTTTATATGCCAAAAAGATAAGGAAATCTTGGGTTTAGAGGCCTTATTAAAATACGGAAATAATATCAGATTCTTGATGAGTAGCTCTATCTTTGATAATGAAAACTCCTCCATAATAGACCCAGTTATTGGTATTATAAACAATTGGAAAATAGACCTAGAAATTGACATCCGATTATTGAACTGGTATACGATAATGCCGATAGTCAAGGAATCCATACATTGCTTTAATCATATAGAATTATAATATAAGATTTTAACAAAATGGCATTTGGTCCCTAGGAAAATCAATAAGATGTTCCCTACGTATTCCTCCCTGTGCTGGCGTTGTTGCTAACAGGAAGGCTCTTATGTCTATATTTGGTGGAATTGTCAAAAATTAAAACCCTTTTGGGAATTAACATATAACACATTAAAAATTTTGACAGGTTTTCATATGACAGTTTCTCCTCAATCTGCTTTATTACATCTTGAGTGGCCCAAATTGTCGGAAAAAAAAATAGATATGTAGTCACCCATATTTTGATTGCTGCAAAGAAATGTATTGTAAATTCCTGGAAGCAAAAGGAATCCCCAACATGGGTAACACTTAAAACGCAAATCTCTCTCCAACTGAAAATGGAGAGAGAGCCCATGCCTATAACTAAATATGGTTGGAATACATGGAATAACTTTATCCAAGAGGAGTAGTATGTATATATATATAAAATTGGATGAGAACTCCCTGTTATTTTTCTCCCACGAGATTATTCTGGGGGTCTACAATGTGAAGGGTCTTATATAGGTAAATTTCAAATGGGAACCTCCTTTACATTTCTCAACTGTATTTTAATGCTTCAGACCATCATGTTTTTGTACTTGTTTTGTTTGTATGTAATGCAGTATGTTGGGGTCTCTGAGGGTTCGGATCCAAACGGCCTGATTAATCTGTGTTCTGGACAATAGGGGATGGGATAAATGGGCACTGGGAGATCATCAATCTACTGTATTCTGATGTTTTCTGATGGTATGTTTTATTTGAATATATGTAAAATATTTAATAAATATCTGTAGAGTTAAGAAAAAAAAGAGAAATGCAAAAAGAATAATTCAATGCTTTATATTATACATCAGGTCTTTTCTTTCAAGGAGCACTGTAGAATTACTAACACTATAAGTTTAAAATAGCTGTTTTGGTTCCCCATTTGACCTATTTTAACCCATAAGTTTGCTCTCCATCACCATTGCTTCATGTAAATGTCTATATCCACTTTCTCTAAGGCCTGCCACTGGGCATGGGCCCCAGTGATTGGATTAGAGTGGTCAGCTGATGCCCTGAACAAATAACCATTCTTTGGTTTTGCATGTTTTGGCTGCACTCTCTCAGTTGAGTATTAGATCAGGAACAGAGCTGTATTGTCATCAGCATTGATTTTACAGTCTGTGCCTTTTACTATAGTTCTGATCTACGTTTACAAAATGCAATAAAGGAACGGTAGGTGGGTTAAAGTGCAACAAACAGTGCAGGCAAGCCACTCTAAAAAGGGATCACTCCCCAATCCCACAGATATAATAAAAAACAGGAAGTATAGGAAAATACACAAGTGAGGGCGCCACTATCACAAATTGTGGATATATAATTACCACTCAATCAGCAGGGATGACATGTGGAAAAATTATATATAAAAGAATACATAGTGAAGTATTTAATGATTTAAAATGACAATAGTAAATATCAATGAAATAAAACTCAGAGAAGTGGCACAAAAAATAAATATTTCTATTTCTGCAAGAAAGCTTTTAAGCCTCTAGGGGGTCTTACTCCCCAGTCTGTGGAAATCGCCATTTGATACCTCTCAAAATCAGTCCAGAAAGAAGTTATAACAGAAAAGTTATTTTCTGGATCGCGGATATCGGCTTCCTTCCATGCGGCACTGTGGTCGCGGTATAGCTCAATGCATTTTGTCCATTTGGACTTTTTCAAGAGCAATTTGTGATGGTGGTGCCCTCACTTGTGTATTTTCATATACTTCCTGGTTTTTATTATAATCTACGTTTACATACCTTTTGTACTTGGGACAGTTTTTGAAGGCCATCCATGTTATTTGAGAATAATCTGCTGCTTCTGTTAGGGAAATACCAGGTAAATGTGGTTGCATTTTTCAGACAGTATGCTGCACAAAAAAACTGACCATACATAAATTTCTTTTTTGAGCAAACTATGATTTTTTCAATGCGTTCTAAATCTATCAGAAAGACTTTTAAACCAGGGCAGTTCATAAAAAGACTAATATTTTATCAATATTAATTATTGTTATTTATAATTTTGAAATGTAATTTGTTTCATCTCTTCATGCTTTTTCTTATTCCCAGATAAGCTATGGTGCAACCAGTTTGATTCTAAGTGACAGAAAAGTTTACCCAACATTTTTCCGGACTCTACAAAATAATCAAGCTAACTATCATGTGTTATCCAAGCTACTGAAATACTTTGGATGGACCTGGGTTGGAATTTTTGCTTCTGATGATGACATGGGTGAGGAAGAAACACAGGTTTTAAAAAATAATTTGATAACTGATGGGATCTGTGTGCCCTTTACAATAAAAGTAAAATCATCTGGTTATCCTCGTATTGATAAAATACAATATGATACTATTAAAAACTCTGGAACCCAGGTTATTGTTATTACTGGATCACTGTCTTTGGTTGTTTTTTTTTCCTTTAGCAGTTTAATAAAATATCGAATCATTGAATATAAGACACTTATTCTTGGCCCCAATTGGGCCTTAAGTCATTTTTTTTATGTTGACCGTTCTATGTTTAATGGCAGCTTAGCTCTTGAATTTTTTGAGGAAAAAGTTCCAAAACTTCAAGAGGTCATTGAAAATATTTATCCTTCGAAATACCCAAGGGACAAGTTACTTGATTATATTTGGATGTATTATTTTAATTGTTACTCACTTAACCCCAAAAAGACTGATTTTTATATTTTGTATTTTAACTTTAAACCACGTAATTGTACTCAGAAGATTCGTATCTCGGATATTCCTAATGTTCACTATGATGGACACACTCCTCATATGAATAGGGCAATGAAAGCCATGGTCAAAGCTTTACATAATATGCACTTGTCCCTGAATATCCACTCTAATGAAAATAATACTCAAATCTACAAATACAAGTATCAGGTAAACAAAGAGATTTGATTAATGTAAAAATATGAATACATATATAGAACACAATGACAATTCTATCAGCAAAAAAAAGATGGCAATAGTACCACTTATGTTCATGTTTTTAGAACTGCACGAGACACTTACCTTAGTCTCACAAACTCCAATTCTACTTACAGCTTCTCTGATACTACACTCTATGGGAATGAGAAAATGCATAATATTTTAATTCAGTATACCTGTCTATTTATCTATTTATCAATCTATCTATCAAAGTTTTAAAGTTAGTAAATAATGCCACATTGAGAATCTGGGCATGTTGTTATCAGAGTCTGTGTAGGAAGTGCAGCAAGTTATAATATTTTTATCACTTTGTTCACATTATACTGACAATCTCCAGTCAGGTGTCTCAGTTCTGGAGGATGTTCTGACTCCTTCACATTACGTAAGTTATTGGAACTTCTTTTTAATTTTTTTATTTATTCAACAAATGCAACCACTGACTTTAATTATCAAGGAGACCACTGTACCATGTTAATTAAAACGTAAATCTTAAAAGTAAAGGTAGTGTCTCCGTAGATTGTACGGTCTGGCTATGCCCTGTTAATTTGGAACAGGAGGGATGAGAGCTACATATGTATAGGTAGTCCTGAATAAGGTGAGGGCCATTCCTTGGGACACAGTTACAGAACAGGTCTTAAACAAACTTACTGTTAACAGAGACAGGATACCAGCTGCAGGATATCCCCACCCACAGTTCACATCAGGCTAGCCCTATAACTAACAGTTGAAGCTGGAAAAACGGTGCAATTGTGAAAAAGCTGCAATGCTTGATAGCGAGATAAGAGGAAAGAGAGGTCGGCAAAGCCTTAAGGCTCATGCCCACTTATGGATAAAAAGCTCTGGGCAGCAAATAAAGGAATATAAATTTATGCAAGGTAGGGAACAGGGGTATAGAATAAAACAGTTAGAATTAAATCAATTAATACAATATGAATTAATACAATATTAATTAATATATGAATTAATACAATATGAAAAAAACATCCTCAGAACAAAATACTCTGACCTATGCATAGCAGAAGCAGCAAAGAAAGAGGAGGAGCTATGCCTGTCAGGACTTTATTGTTTTTGATTGGTTCAAGTTTAATGATTGACTTGTGCTGCTGGAGGTATAAGTAAAGAATGTTATGCAAAATACTTGGCTCCTGTCCTTATTTAAAAAAAGATAATAGGTAAACTACATCAGCATGATCTACATTTACCAAGGAACCCACTGCACAATGTTTATTAAAGGACCACTATAGGCACCCAGACCACTTCAGCTTAATGGTCTGGGTGCCAGGTCCAGCTAGGGTTAACCCTTTTTTCTATAACATAGCAGTTTCAGAGAAACTGCTCTGATTATATTAGGGTTAATCCAGCCTCTAGTGGCTGTCTCATTGAGAAGTGAGAAGATGCCAGTGAGAAGATGCCAGCGTCCATAGTAAAGCATTGATAATGCTTTCTTATGAGACTGGCAGAATGCGCACGCAGCTCTTGCAGCACATGCGCATTCAGCCGAGGAAGAGAGTAGGAGGAGGAGAGGAGGAGGAGAGCTCCCTGCCCGGCGCTGGAGAAAGAGGTACGTTTAACACCTTCCTCACTCTAGAGCCTGGCACGAGGGGGACCCTTAGGGTGGGGGCACCCTCAGGGCACTATAGTGCCAGGAAAACGAGTATGTTTTCCTGGCAATATAGTGGTCCTTTAACACTTATATATAAGTGAAAAGAAAATAAAGAATTAAATGTCAATTTCTCTACCTAAAATATAGAGTTTGTGTTTGATTTGTGCACTCCAAAATTAAATAAATTGGTTTGTCCAAATCGAATTATCTGAAAAAGTTGTTTGGATTGAACTGAAATTCATCCATGAGGTATGCGAAAAGAAGGTATGCTGGCAACTAGAAGCACTGCATAATTCTGTGGTGAAGTTAATGCTACCATACAGAAATCGGTACAGTGATATAACTGTTCTGTCTGAAAGTGGTTTGAATATAAATTACATATTGTTGAGCAATGGCCTGTATCAACTGCTTAAGGTCTACAGCTGGGTGATTTTGTTAGCCTAATATTTGGACATTGACCTGGAAATCCAACAGAATGTTTAAGAGTGGGCTTGTGGACACATTCCTGGGATGATGAGGAGTCTGAATGTCTCTTTCCAACTTGTGACTGACAAATAATGCTGCTGTTCTTGACATGACCTCTATCAAATACAGTAACAGGGGGCTTGCTGCCTGCCCTCATACCGGCATTAGTGAGATGAACCATCACTCTTCCAATTCTCACTTGTTTGCTGCACAGTTTGCATATTGCCCTTTTTGGACGCATTCCAAGTGGCACCTTATGTTGCCTCAGGTAAATACATTACCTCAATCATTCACCTTGTGGCTGCTAAAGATAAGGGTAAATTATCATCGGCAGCATTGGAAGTTGTCAAAACACAAGCCTCTACAATAGTGTTTGGATGAGTAGTGCAACAAATGCAGGGAAAAGGAGTTAGTGGAGGTGCTAATAAGAAAAATGGGTGAGCAACATATAGCAGTGGTATCAGATGATGTTACAACTGTCTCCACTAAATGAAGCAATTCAAAAGATAGAGATGGTACACGCTAGCTGGAGAAATTAGTGGACTGCTGCCTGTTATTTCTGGGCTCTCCTCTTGTAAATACTTTGACTCATAATTGTGTTCCTTCTTAGTTGCTTCTTGGACCTAAAAGAACTAGGGGGTAACAGAGGAAATCCAATGTAACTGAGAACAAAATCCAGTACATAAGTCTAATTTAGCCACTTTGCTGTTAATGCCCCTGACCCATGGGATGAATGTATAAGTCATCAAGGTGTGCCTCAGTGATGCCTAATTTTTTAAAACTGTTTTATGCTGTGAGAATAGATTTGGGATAATACAATATTCAAAATAATATTTTTATAAAAATTATCAAAAATTAATCATGTTTATCAACATCAAAAATCTATTTTATAGCACTGTATCCCCGTATTAATTTAAGAGTGAACTCACTATTTTTATAAAATGTATAAATGTATTTTTATTACATTTATAAATTTATAATATATAATATATAATTTATTGTGAACAAATAAATAATAACATGCAGCAAAAGGCAATTAAACAGATGGTGGCAGCATGAGTGTCCACACGAGGGGGCAAGGGAGTCCCGTCCCCACAGGCAATTTTCCTTTGGACTGTGACAGCTCAGTCTGAGAGAGAGAAGGAGGGATGTGCTGGGGGCTGGGGTGAGGTGTTGGGGACTGGCGTAGCCCTATTTAGGTTGACAGAGGACTGGAGGGAGCAATGTGAGGCTCCCTTATGAAACCCCACCATTTCCGTGCCTCTGTGCTCCTCCCACACATTCAGGCTCCACCTTCTGCACTCAAGCCCTGTCCCATGCAAGCTCCACCCCCAAACTCACTGCTGATGAGGGAAGAGGACAGATCATGAAGACCACCTTCAGGTGATCCCAGTCTCCCACAGCCTTCTTTGACAGGTAAGCTTCAGCCCATGACAGTGTGTGTGTGTGTGTGTCTGATAGTGAGTAAGCTTGTCTGTGTTTGTGTGTGTCAGTGAGCTTGTCTGTGTGTGAGTGAGTTTGTAGTGACCATGTGTATGTCAGTGAGCTTGTCTTTGTGTGTCAGTGAGTTTATAGTGACCATGTGTCTGTCAATGGGCATGTGTGTCAGTGTGAGCTTGTAGTGAGCATGTGTGTGTCAGCGAGGTTGTCTGTAAAGAGCATGTGTATATGTGTCAATGGGCTTGTGTGTGTGTGTGTGTGTGTCAGTGAGCTTATGTGTAAGCAAGCTTGTGTGTGTCAGCTAGCTTTTCTGTAGTGAGTATGTTTGTAATGAGCATGTGAATATGTGTCAGTGAGCTTGTCTGTAAGTGAGCTTGTGTGTGTTAGTGAGATTTTCTGTAGTGAGAATTAGTGTGTGTCAGTGAGCTTGTCTGTAGTGAGCATGTGTATGTGTGTCAGTGAGCTTGTCTGTTGTGAGCTTGAGTGTATGTCAGTAAGTTTGTCTGTAGTGAGCATGTATGTGTCAGTGAGTTTGTCTTTCAGCCTTTTAGTAGATAGCTCCCTAATACCGTGGGAATTAGGGAGTTATCTACTTATTCATTCCTGTCATTCCATTGACAGGCTTAGTAACTTACATTTAATATGAATGTGTGTTACTTGATTGTTGTAAGTGTTGCAAATGCTTACAGCTGAATCCTGGCTACATTCTTCCACTGGGTAGGTATATTAGAACTTCGGTAATGCTGGGCTTCAGAACTTTGGCACTTCGACACTTTAGAACTTCGGCAACTTTGGCACTTCGGCACTTCGGAACTTGGGCACTTCTGAAATTCTGCAATTTCGGAACTTCAGGACTTCAGCAATTTGGCACTTCGGCAATTCAGCTATTCGGACATTTGGATGTATCTGGATGTCCGAATTGTCCAAAATTCGTCCGAATTGACATTCGGAACTAAACAAATTGCACGTCTAGACCTTATAGGTGTGATGGAAATCCATCAGGGCCAGTTACTCTGTTAACATGGATCAGTTTTATAGAACTTTTGTCCTCCCCCTGGCCCCTAACCCTGAGCAGTGAGTGGGGGCCCTAAATTAGAATAAAGGGGGACCTATTGTCCTGCGCCCCGGCCCCCACCCCTGAGCAGTGGGTGGCTGCCCTAAATACCAATAAGGGGGGGGACCTATTGTCCTCCCCTCTGGCCCCCACCCAAGTGAGTCATTATTGTCAGACCACAGAGATTACTTCCCCAACCACTGACTTTCTCACTCAGTTTTTTTTCTAGATAATAACTGAAAGGAGAGCTCTAGGCTCACACTATGGGAGTCACACGAAATAACTGTTAGAAGTCAACTTATTCAGATTTGTGCATAAGCACAC